GCTCCTTGCCTGCTGCAACTCCAAACTATTTGAAAATCCAGGCTGTTCCCTCCATGTGGCTCTCAGCTCCAGTGAGGGGAGAAGCTTGTGCTGCTCAGCCCCCACCCCCGGTTGATCTCTCAGCTCCTATTGGCTGGTTGCTTGAGAGACTGGCTGGGGTCAGTTCTTATTGGCTGATTGTTTTCAGCCAATAGGAGCTGAAGATTAGACTGGGGTGAGGAGATCACCTGAAGCCTTCCCTCCCTCCAGAGTAGAGAGTCAGGTGACAATATTCTTGCCATCAAGTTAAGGGAGTCTGGATTGGATAAATGGACTGTAAGATGGATAGAAAGCTGGCTAGACTGTCGGGCCCAACCGATAGCGGTCAACAGCTCGATGTCAGGTTGGCGGTCGGTTTCTAGTGGAGTGCCCCAAGGATCAGTTCTAGAACTGGTTTTGTTCAATATCTTTATTAATGACCGGGATGAAGGGATGGATTGCACCCTCAGCAAGTTCCCAGATGACACTAAGATAGGGGGAGAGGTAAATACCCTTGAGGGCAGGGATAGGGTCCAGAGTGACCTAGACAGATTAGAGGATTGGGCCAAAAGAAATCTGATGAGGTTCAACAAGGACAAGTGCAGAGTCCTGCACTTGGGATGGAAGAATCCCGAGCATAGTTCAGGCTGGGGACCGACTGGCTAAGTAGCAGTTCAGCAGAAAAGGACCTGGGGGTTACAGTGGATGAGAAGCTGGATATGAGTCAACAGTGTGACCTTGTAGCCAAGAAACCTAATGGCATATTAGGGTGCATTAGGAGGAGCATTGCCAGCAGATCCAGAGAAGTGATTATTCCCCTTCATTCGGCTCTGGTGAGGCCACATCTGGCGTATTGTGTCCAGTTCTGGGGCCCCCACTATAGAAAGGATGTGGACGCATTGGAGAGGGTCCAGCGGAGGGCGACCAAAATGATTAGGGGGCTGGAGCGCATGACCTATGAGGAGAGACTGAGGGATTTGGGTTTGTTTAGTCTGCAGAAGAGAAGAGCGAGGGGGGTTTGATAGCAGCCTTCAACTTCCTGAAGGGAGGTTCCAAAGAGGATGGAGAGAGGCTGTTCACAGTAGTGACGGATGGCAGAACAAGGAGAAATGGTCTCAAGTTACAATGGGGAAGGTCTAGGTTGGATATTAGGAAAAACTATTTCACTAGGAGGGTAGGGAAACACTGAGATGGGTTCCCTAGGGAGGTGGTGGAATCTGCATCCCTAGAGGTTTTTAAGTCTTGGCTTGACAAAGCCCTGGCTGGGTTGATTTAGTTGGGATTGTGCGGCCGGGGGGGGGGGGGCTGGACTTGACTCCTGAGGTCTCTTCCAGCTCTAGGATTCCTGGTAATTCATGCTTTAGCTCTTAGCATGGGAGCTGGCTTCCCCAGGAGTCTTCTAAATAGAGGCGATTGCCTATCTCTGTGAGGTTGGTTCAATCCTCAAAACGAGCTTGTTATGGAGCAGCCCATTTAGGACAGAGAAACGGGGGAGGACGGATTATAAAACTCCATTCAGTGATGGGGCGGGGGGGATCCCAACGAAGTAGGACAGTGACTTAGAGCTCGTAGGCTGCATGGGGGAAAGGCATCTCCCAAGCAGCCGCCTGCAGCCTCGCACGGGTGTAAAGAAGTGGAGCCCTTCCCCCTTGCCCTCAGGCAGTTGGATTATGGTATTACACAGTATATAATATATCCTACATTTTGCACTGAACGTTTTCATATCATGGGGTCATAAAAAACAGCACTCCAAAAAAATTTATCAATCAAATCAATGTGTAACCCCCCTGCAAGGGCAGGATATACTCTCCTCATAGAGAACATAATCAGTTACCTAAATTATATTTGTCCATTTCATGTTGTTTCTTTACAAGATGCTCCAACCACATAAATTAGTTCACATTATTACCTTGTCTTGATGGTTAAAGCCAAAAGGGAGGAAGCAGAAAAGGGAAATCACACAGCCCTCACAATTACAGCATTCCTGGCGCTCTGAGCCATGATAACTTCTTTGTAATTTAGCTGGTGCAATTAATAATTTCTGATGTCAGCAAAAGTGAACTCAGCCATAACACAAGGCTGGAGCCTTTGGGCTTTCCTTCATCCACTTGGTCACTCAACTGAAACTCTTCTTTGATACTCAAAATTACATATACTCTCAGAAGTATATTCATTTCAACCTTTTACTCCATGTGCATGGGGGTAGCACAGCAATGCTCTCAAAGGAGATCAGCACAACTTAAAACATGTTAAAGTGTAAATGGGATCAAGCTATACTCTGAGATTTCAGATATTATACTGAAAGAGATAAGAGACATCCACAGGATGTAGCAAGATCTTTGAGAGGCCTGGAGCTCTCAGAACTTGAATCACAGGGCAATCGAGTTTAAAGTACCTCCAGCTCATTTAGTTTCACTTCCTCTACATCACAGGCCACCATCACCACCCAAAACATTTGTATTATTTTGGACTGAATTAAGAAATAAGAAAAAAAGCACCACAAGCCACAAAAGACTAGACTATTATAGCAGCCGCTCACAACAGACCTGGACTGGTACCCACCCAGAACAGGGGGTTGCTCCAGCCCTTTCCATGTCACAGGTGGGGGGCCACTTCAGCTCAGCCCATATTTAACCAGTTAACTGATTAAACGGGATTTTTACATCCCTCAACTACAGGACTGCTTTCCGCCCGGCCGGCCCGTTCTTCCACCCAGCTCTCCGCTAGGGCAGCGTCGAGACGATTTCGCCGACGTACCTTTCACGGAAAAGGTTTTCCCTGACACGTAGTTCCGCAAAAGCGCGTCTAGATCGGCACGGATGCGTTTGCGCAAGGAAGCCCCGATCGCCATTTTAGGCATCAGGGCTTTTTTGCGCAAAACAATTCTTCCCTGTCTATGCTGGTCCTCTGAAGCAGGGATTCTTGCGCAAGAGGGCTTTTTCCCGAGTGGGAGCATGAAAGGATTTGCGCAAGAAGCACTGATTTTGTACATTACAAAGTCAGTGCTCTTGCGCAAATTCAAGCGGCCAGTGTAAACAGCTGGCAAGTTTATGCGCAAAAGCAACTGCTTTTGCGCAAAAGCTTGCTAGTCTAGACGCACCCTAGGAGTCCTGCGGCACCTTATAGACTAGTGGTCCCCAACCATTTGATGTCACCGGGTACGAGGGGGCAGGGCTGCGCATATGCCACACCCCCATGAGCCATGTGCCTGGGGCCGGCACCCCCCATAGCCGCATACCAGGGGCTGGCGCTCCCCATAGCCACGCGCCCGGAGCACGGACGGCCGCTTCGCCGTGTGCCCAGGGATGACACCCCTCCCCCCCATAGCTATGCGCCCGGGGCCGGCGCTCTCCATGCTCCGCGCACCCGGTGCTGGCGCTCACCATGCGCTGCGTGCCCGGAGCGCGGGTGGCCATTTCGCTGCGCGCCCCCCACCCCCCACATAGCTGTGCGCCCGGGGCCGGTGTCCCTCCGCTGTAGCTGCATGCCCAGAGCGCGGGCGCCTACTTTGTCCCGGCCTGCACCCAGGGCCAGCGCTCCCTATGCGCTGTGCACCCGGAACGCAGGTGGCCACTTCGCTGCGCTCCCAGGGCCGGCGCTCACTGTGCGCCATGCTCCCGAGGCCGACTCCGGCACAGCGCATGCGCCACGTGTCCGGGGCCAAGCCAGCCCTGAGCACTTGGCGGGCGCACACAAATGCTCCTGCGGGCACCATGGTGTCCGCGGGCACTGTGTTGGGGACCACTGTTATAGGCTAACCAAAGCGTTGGAGCATAAGCTTTCGTGGGCAAAGACCCACTTCATCAGATGCATGTAGTGGAAATTTCCAGATGCAGGTATAACTATGCAGGCCAGAATCAGGCTAGAGATGACAAGGTGGATCCAATCAGGGTGGATGAGGCCCACTTCCAGTAGCTGATCTGGAGGTGTGAATACCAAGAGAGGAGAAGCTGCTTTTGTAGTTAGCTAGCCATTCACAGTCTTCATTTAATCCTGAGCTGATTGTGTCAAACTTGAAGATGAACTGTAGCTCAGCAGTTTCTTTTTGAAGTCTGGTCCTGAAGTTTTTTTGCTACGGGATGGTTATCTTTAAATCTTCAATTGTGTGTCCAGGGAGATTGAAGTGTTCCCCTACAGGTTTTTATGTTTCCATTCCTAATATTTATACCTGCCTCTGGAAACTTCTACTACATGCATCTGACAAAGTGGGTTTTTGCCCACGAAAACTTATGCTCCAACCCTTCGGTTAGTCTATAAGGTGCCACAGGACTCCTTGCTGATTTTGCAGATTCAGACTAACACGGCTACCCCTCTGATACTTAAGCTCTCCACTGGCTCTTTTGCCATTATAATAATAATGTGTGCAGTGACCAATCCTAGCTTTGTAATATGCTGAAGTGGAGCTGTGAGAAAGGAGACATACACAGCGTCAAATGGTCTTGTAGGCTATGTCTACACTGGTGGCTCAAGAAAACGTCCACACTGCCATGTGCGAACTGTGCTTTTGCGCAAGAGCATCCATGGCCGTGTGGAGGCTCTCTTGTGCAAGAAAGCTCTGATGGCCATTTTAGCCATAGGGCTTTCTTGCGCAAGAAATCCCTTCAGAGTGTCCAAACTGCCCTCTTGCGCAAGAGCTCTTGTTAAAAAAGTGTAACTCTTGCGCAAGAAGCCCTCTCTTACCACGCCATACTGTAAATATTCTTGCGCAAGAGCAGGTGGGCAGTGTGGACGCTTTCTGGAAGAATGGCCGTTCTTGCGCAATTTCCCACCAGTGTAGACATAGCCCTAGTGTCCTAAGCCTAATGTGGGATCCTAAGCTCTGCTTCCCATCCCGCTGCTAACCTTGTTGGAGGAGGGAGAACAGCCATCACGCTATTTTGCAAAGATTGCCCCAGGAAACAACAGTTTTACACTTCCCCTCATGTGTATGAAATATTTCTCTTTTACATCATGCCCCAAAGTGCTTTTATCTATTTCTTCAAAGACTTCTTCAGAGCATGTTTCCACTAAACCTCTTTCATTGCCACTGTGAAGTTGGGCTGAAGTTTGATGGTCTTGCACAGCTTTCAGTAAATGAGACAGGTGCTGTTTTTCAATGGTCACTAGATGTCACTCTTATTTCATATATAAAAAGAGGTGGCTTTATTTGGTATAAAAGAAAGAGAGGCTCAGATCAAAACTGAATCTGGATTTTGGTCAATTCACAGCTTAATTCTCTCAGACAAGTTTAATTGTAACTTTGAGGAAGTATAGCCATCATTTCCTCATAACCACCAGGGACCTTTATTTTCCTCCCCCCCTCTCTCTGCTGCGGTCAAGGATTGGGGCAAGAGGTGCTACTAACTGGTGTGTATGTAGACAAGTGGGCAGAGCCTGCTGGCCACTCCCCTGCTAGTATGGCTGACCTCTGTGGCCACACTGCAGGATCTCTGCCTTGAAGGCTTACTGCCCACACTGGACACATTCATATCCCATTCCTCTGAACAGCAGCCCCTCCCTTTCCATGTTATAGAAAACAGTCCTTTTCCTGGGGCTTGTGGTTGTCCTGGCACAGCCAAACCTGGGCTTTGCTTTCAATTAGTAGAAGAGGAAGCTGCCTCTGTATCAGAGGTAGTAGCATGGGGCGGCAGGTGGGAACCAGTCTCCACGGGGAGCATTTTAATAACTGTGTAAGTGCTAAATATTGTTGCAGCTACATGATTACTAAAATAACTGATATCTAACATCCATAGTTATAATTCAAAATGATCTGAACAAACTGAAGGAATGATATGTGGTAAATCGGATGAAATTCTACAAGGACAAATGCAAAATACTCCACTTAGGAAGGAACAATCAGTTTCATACATACAAAATCGGAAGTGTCTAGGAAGGAGTACTATAGAAATGGATCTAAGGGTCATAATGGACCACAAGCTAAATATGAGTTAGTGTGACACTGTAGCAGAAAAAGCAAACAAACATTCTGGGATGTTCTGCAGGAGTGGTATAAGCAAGACATGAGAAGTAATTCTTCAGCTCTGCTCTGCACTGATTAGGCTTCAACTGCAGTATTGTGTCCAGTTCTGGGAATCACATCTCAGGAAAGATGTGGACAAATTGGAGAAGATCCAGAGAAGAGCAATAAGAATGATTAAAGGTCTAAAAAACATGACCAATGAGGGAAGACTGAAAGAATTGGGTTTCTTTAGTTTGGAAAAGAGAAGACAGAGGGGAGATACAAGGAGGAGGGAGAAAAATCATCTTCCTTAACCTCTGATGATACGACAAGAAGCAATGGACTTAAATTGCAGCAAGGAAAGTTTAGGTTGAACATTAGGTAAAACTTCCTGCCTGTCAGGGTGGTTAAGCAATGGAATAAATTGTCTATGGAGGTTGTAGAATCTCCATCATTGGAGATATTTAAGAGCAGGTTAGATAAACATCTGTCAGGAATGATCTTGATCAGTAATTCCCAGCCTTTTTATGCTGTGAACAGGCCAAACGCATTCACAAACTTTTGGCGGTCCATCATAATTTTATTTACATGTTGGCACTAGGGATGGTAAGCAACTGGTCAACTATCCAATAAGCAAAAGCTTTTCGGATAGTTGACACGCCGGTCAATTAGTCGCTTCCCCCCCTTGCTTCCTCTGTCAGAAAGAGGCAGCAAGGCGGGGGAGGGGAGGAGTGCTGGGGGGAGCCATCTTAAAATGCCGGTTCCCTCCAGCTCCGTGGGAGGGGGCAGCGGCACAACAGCTGCGTTCCACATTTGAAATGTACAAGAGTCCCTGCTAGGTAGCACTTCCGCCTTTGAAATGTAGCAACAGCCCAGCAGGCTCTTGCTATGTTTCAAAGCGGAAGCAACCTTATCGACTAATTGATGGAAATTCCATTGACTATTTGATTAGTCGATTAATCTAATTTTACCATCCCTAATTTGCATATGCATTATGCAAAGAATGAATATGCAAATATTCAAATACAATGTTTCCTGTCCACCTAGCCCCATCCCAGCCCCATCCCAGCCCCTTGCTCTCCAGTGCCTAATACCCTTTGACCTCCACTCCTACGCCCTGTGATCCTTTAACCTCTGACCTCTAGAGCCCATGCCAACACTCTCTTGTCCCATGACCCCACCATGCCCCCACCCCACACTCCCCAGAGAAAGAAGCTGCCCCCTCTAAGGAGCATGGCCATTACTGCATACCGGCAAGGGGAGCAGCTGTTGAGGGCACATATGCTCCCTCCTTCGTGCCCCCTCCATTCTCAAGCCATTTTGCATCCTCATGGGGGGAAGAGCCCTAGCTGGGCTGCTGTTACCAAGGATGGAGGGAGGCACCTTCTGCTCCACCTCTCTTGCTGCTGCCTGAATCTCAGTGCCACCGCTGGCAAAATTGCCTGTACAGGCAGGGAGGCACCTCCTGCTGCTAGCTCAGTTCCTGCACAAAAAATGAGCCACCATAACTGCTGGTGCTGACCTGCTGTGAACAGCTGGCTTCAGCTCTGGCAGCTTCTGGGGCCCGGCAGCCAGCGGTTCACAGACCGGCAGTGGTCTGTGGATTGGTGGTTGGGAATTACTGATCTAGATCAGAGATGGGCAATAATTTTTGGAGGGGAACCACTTCACATATTTTGCTACCTGGTCACAGGCTGGCTCCGGCCCCACACCCCCAGGAAGGGGGAGCATGACACAGATTGAGTGTGTGGCAGTGTGTATATTTGGCAGAGACTGGGAGAGTATGCGTGGCAGTGTCTGTGTGTGGCACAGACTGGGTATGTGTGCTGGCTAAGTTTTTAAGAGAAGCCACACTATCTCTCAGAGAATGTGTCCTGCTCTGTTGTCTTCCCCACCCCTGTTCTGCGTGCCTCTGAGTCACATGCTTCAGATTGGAGCAGCTCTGTTGACTTATGTGTCTGTGTGACTGATTGTCTAGGACCCCAGCTCTGCAGAGATGGCATACATAGGCAGGGGAACACCACTGACTTCAGCACTCCCCTCCACCCCCATTCTCCTTCTCAGCTAGCAGGAGAATCCTGGAGGCAGCTGTAGGACAGAATGAGGGGAGGGGCAGCTGAACACACACTGCTGGCTGTAAGTATGTACCTATGCTAATCAGCTGGGCAGACCAGAGAGGAATGCTTAGCAGGCAGGATCCAGCCCCCAGGACTGAATTTTCCCACCACCAATCTATATGGTGCTTGTTCCTGCCATGAGTGCAGGGGACTGGGCTTTATGGCCTCTCGAAGTCCCTTACAGGTCTAAGAATTCTATAATTCTATGAATGTTAAATGTAAGACTAGTTGATCATGCCCCTATATCTCACTAATTTCACTTCTTCCTTTCTGCAGCCAGCCCTCCACCACTTCTCTCCGTGGCAGAACTACTAGAAACAGCACAAGAGATTTCCAAAATGACCATTGCACATGAGATTGTGTTGAACCGTGATTTCAAAGTGCAAGAAGTCAACTTGTCACCAAACAGGTTCCTTACATTTCTCTGTTTTTTCTCGTCTGAAGTTGCAGATCATGTAGCTGAAATGGGAAAGGGGGGAGGGGAAGACTTAGAGCAGGCATGTCAAACTCGAAGCCTGTTGAGGTCTGTACAAACGAAAACTGATAACTTTCAGGGCCACCAAAGAAAATTTACTTCTATCAGAAAATCGTAATTATTTATTATTATAGATTATGTTTTAGGTATATTTTATAATATTTTTTCAGGTCTTGTTTGAATATAATACAATAATTTGATGTGTAAAATTGTTATTTGCATCCATGAAAACTTTGAGTTTAAGGTGCTTCAGTCCCCCCTGCTCTAACCCAATTCCCCATCCGCCCCTTTGCCCCCTCCGCTCTAACCTAATGCCTGTGTCCTGGAGCTGCCGCCACCCCCCTCTTCTCCCTCCAGGTGCAGGGGCGCGTGCACAGAGCAGCCAGCCACAAGCAGTCTTGGTGTGCAGCTCAGAACCAGCAGGAGCCGCATTTCCTTAATCAAAGAGCCGAATGTGGCTCGAGAGCCACGGGTTAGCCACCACCCTTGTTATAAACAATGTAGCTGGGCAGGTCGCACTTAGATAATTTATAAAGATGTAGTCACGGGCCACAAAAAAATTTCATCAGGCCTCATGCTTGACATGACTGACTTAGAGGGATAAAGGAGAAGAGATGTAAAATCTTCAGCTAAGATCACTCCGCAATCTTCCCTGTAACTACAAACTTACTGAGTTCTATCTGAGCACCTTAACGACTAGAGCAGTGTTTCTAAAAAATTTTGAAGACCGAGGAACACCAAACAATTTTTTTGATGGGGAACACCAAGGATTTTTGTTGAGTGGAAAAAAAAAAAAAAAAAAGGAAGCTTGTCCCCTTTTAAAGATGGCCATTTGAACTCTTCTCTCTGAACCAAAATTTGGGACACATTAACTACACCCTTTGACCTCTGTTTACTATGCCCCTGACTCTCGGGGTCAAGATGGGCACATGACAGAAGTAAAAGTAACCCCCTCTAAGAACTTTTCCCACCATCCTCCTACCCATAGGGGGATGAGTTGGCCCCCACCGAATCCTCTCTCCTCTGGTGCTGGTTTCTCCCCTGCAGGTGTCTGCCCTTCTGCTTCACCCCCAGAATCCCCTGGCACCTGCACCTTCCCTTACCCTTGCACCCTCCTGGTGCTTCCTCCTTCCCTCCCAGATCTGGCTGACGGATCTGATGCCTCATCCTCCCAGATCTGGCTTGTGGACCGCGGCTGTGCGACCGGGTCCGTGCACTGTCACTTCCCAGCAGAGTGGGAAGGGGTGGGGAGAGAAAGGGCTGTGCATAGTGCACACTGGCAGAGCCCGAACATAACCCGCTCTGTAGCACTTCAGCCGAGCTTTGTGCAGTCTCTGCCAGCGCCCCTCCCCCTCTGGCAGCAGTGGCAGCTACCTGTGGATGGAGGAGGCTGGGCTGGCAGCGCACGGTGGAGGCAGTCCTGCAGCGAGAGGGAAGGGCTATATGGTGCGGGAAGGGGCTTGCTGGACAGCGGTGCATGCTGCATGGGAGCTCGGGGCTCCGGACACTGCACGCCACCAGCAGCGGCCCTGGCTGCCCGTGCAAAGCACCAAGGGAGCCGCTTACGTGCTGGGTGGAGGCAGGGAGTTGCTACTGCACTGCACTAGCGCTGGGTGTCTTTACATTCGGGACTGTCCTGGAAAAAAGGAACATATGGTCACCATATCTCCGTGGTCACCTCGGACTGCCTCATGGCACACCGTTGTGCTGCGGAACATAGTTTAAGAAACGCTGCATTAGAGTATCCTCTGTTGCTGCAAAGAAGAGGCTCTGTAGAAAAGTATTCTGCCAATCTCTAAGGATAAGAAATAGGGGTTAGAGGATTTATCCCTTCACTCTCCCCCTTCCCTGGCCCTCACGTGAATAGAGAACAGCAATATCTGAAATCTGAAGATGCTTTATCCCTTGTTTTTCCCCACCCCCTTCCTGTTTGTCCCATATATATATATATATATATAGTAATATTTTAGGTATATATCTTAGTTATTTTACTGAAACTTAACTAACCAACCCTAATTTATTTTAATATGATTATTTAGCCAGTTATATCCTGCTACCTTAACTGGTTTACATCCAGCACAGTTACACAGTAGACAATCAAAGAACCAGACAGATCATACAGATAAACAATACAGAGATGGGGAGATAATGAAGCAACAAAAAGAATGATGCTTTCATAATCCCAACTATTGATAAGTGAGTCCTTGCCAGGCAGAAGGCTATCAACCAAGTTTCCTTTAAATTTTCTAGGCTCTCCCCTTTATCTGGAGGCAATAGATTGGATGGCTTTTCTAACAGCCCCAAATTGCCTCATTTCAATGTGACTGGTTTGGAATGTGCCACGGTGTGACTGCATGTTTCCGGGCTTATGGCTGTTCCTGCATCTTAACCAAAAGTCTTAGGTCATGAACAAGGCTTCAAACCATCATATACAAATAAACTGATTTTAATTCTTTTTTATACCCCTGTAAGAATACACCTACATTCTTGTATAGGCAGTAACAGGGGATATGAAGGGCATTTGTTATCTGTATCTATCACAGGTTGGCTAAGAAGGGTGGCTTACCGCTCAACTATTTTAAGTGCTGTAGAAGTAAGATTAAGGCAATTTACATAGATTTGTGAGCACATATTCTGCATGCCCAGCTAGTATTGGTATAAATAGCAGTGTAGAGGGGGTGGTGCTATTTAGGTGAGTAAATACATGTCTTAATTCCTTGGCTATGTACTCTACTTGCCTCTCTTCAGAGGCAGTACATCCCAGTGTCCAACTGCTGGAGCCATTCCCTACTGCAGGGAAAGACTCCAGCTGGTCCCCCATGCCCAGAAACTTTGCCTGCTACCTCAGCCTTCCATGGATATGTGCAGGCACACAGCAGTGAGGCCATAGTTTGCTTTTCACTGTGGTGTGTAGCTGCACTTATCTGCATACTCCTGCCAGTGTAGACAAGGCCAGAGCATGTTTGGCCATGGTAAGTAGAGACTGCTGGATAGGACACATTTGGAAGAACTGGGGAATTTAGTTTAATAGAAGTTCCCATAGGAGGGAGAGCCATAAGGCACATTTATTCCCATGTTAGAAGCAAAGTTCAAAGAAAATGCACAGAGGTTCAGGTGGGGACAGGGACACTCCATAATGATAGGTGCTAGAATGTTAAATAGTTACTTGTTCCCACTCCCAACTCAGCCTGGAAAGCAGAGTGAAGGAAACATTGCACAAAGCTTTCTGGGACGCTCTGAAAGAACAGCTGTCTGCAAGTCCACCAGAATACACGCATGTGATTCAACTGCTGCAGGAAATTAAAGAGGTGAGCAGTTCAAGAGACAGGACAAATAGCCCCCTTAGAACTAGGCTTCTGTTTATGACGTTGTAGCCCATTTTATCTAAGCCTTCCCTTATGGCTACGTATTAGACCAGAGGCATGAATGAATGGAATTCATTTTGAGGAAGAGTTAAATACTAGGCCCAACCTTTTAGATCCTGTCTGTAAAACCATCCCCTTGACACCCAAGTTTCAACTATACCTGTGCAAGTCAACTAACTATATCTCAAACGTGTAAAAAGCAGCGGAAATATGTAACAGTCAGTATGGACCTAAATTTATGAGGGAAGACATAAAGAATTGGGCTTGTTTAGTTTAAAAGAGAAGACTGAGAAGGGATATGATACCTAAAAGGGTGTTATAAGGAGGAGGGAGAAAAACTGTTCTCCTTGGCCTCTGAGGATAGGACGAGAAGCAATGGGCTTAAATTGTAGCAAGGGAGGTTTAGGTTGGATATCAGGAAAAACTTCCTAACTGTTAAGGTGGTTAAACACTGGAATAAATTGCCTAGGGAGGCTGTGTAATCTGCATCACTGGAGATATTTAAGAGCAGGTTGGATAGACATCTGTCAGGGATGATCTAGATGGTACTTGGTCCTGCCATGAGGACAGGAGACTGGACTTGATGATCTCTTAAAGTCCCTTCTAGTATTCTGTGATTCTATATGATTCCTTATGCAGAGTGTGAATAAGCTCTTGCTGAAGAAACCATTGCACCGGTATAGGACAGAGATTTAAGCTATATATGCAAAAGCGGCGAGGAGTCCTGTGGCACCTTATAGACTAACTGAAGTGTCGGAGCATAAGCTTTCGTGGGCAAGGACCCACTTCGTCAGATGTATCTGACGAAGTGGGTCCTTGCCCACGAAAGCTTATGCTCCGACACTTCAGTTAGTCTATAAGGTGCCACAGGACTCCTCGCCGCTTTTGCATATATAGCTTAAATCTCTGTCCTATACCGGTGCAATGGTTTCTTCAGCAAGAGCTTATTCACACTCTGCATAAGGAATCATATAGAATCACAGAATACTAGAAGGGACTTTAAGAGATCATCAAGTCCAGTCTCCTGTCCTCATGGCAGGACCAAGTACCATCTAGATCATCCCTGACAGATGTCTATCCAACCTGCTCTTAAATATCTCCAGTGATGCAGATTACACAGCCTCCCTAGGCAATTTATTCCAGTGTTTAACCACCTTAACAGTTAGGAAGTTTTTCCTGATATCCAACCTAAACCTCCCTTGCTACAATTTAAGCCCATTGCTTCTCGTCCTATCCTCAGAGGCCAAGGAGAACAGTTTTTCTCCCTCCTCCTTATAACACCCTTTTAGGTATCATATCCCTTCTCAGTCTTCTCTTTTAAACTAAACAAGCCCAATTCTTTATGTCTTCCCTCATAGGTCATGTTTTCTAGACCTTTAATCATTTTTGCTGCTCTTCTCTGGACCTTCTCCAATTTCTCCACATCTTCCTTAAAATGTGGTGCCCAGAACTAGACACAATACTCCAGTTGTGGCCTAATCAGTGCAGAGTAGAGCAGAAGAATGCTTCTTCCTTATCCACAAGACTCATTATCCTATCAAAGAAAGCTATCAGATTGGTTTGACATGATTTGTTCTTTACAAATCTGTGCTGACTGTTACCTATCACCTTATCTTCTAGAGGTTTGCAGATGAATTCTTTAATTACTTGCTCCATTACCTTCCCTGGCACAGAAGTTAAGCTGACTGGTCTATAGTTTCCTAGATTGTTCTTATTTCCCTTTTTGTAGATGGACACTATATTTGCCCTTTTCCAATCTTTTGGTATCTCTCCTGACTTCCATGACTTTTCAAAGATAACTAAAGACCTCCTCTATCAGCTCCTTGAGTATTTTAAGATGCATTTCATCAGGTCCTGGTGACTTGAAGACATTTACGAAATTTTTAACTTTTTCTTTTTTTATTTTGACTTCTAAACCTACCCTATTCCACTAGCATTCACTCTGTTAGTTAGGCATCCTGTCACCATCAATCTTCTTGGTGAAAACTGAAAAAGTCGTCATTAAGCACCTCTGCCATTTCCAAGTTTCCTGTTGTTCTTTCTCCTTCTTCACTGAGCAACAGGCCTACCCTGTCCTTGGTCTTCCTCTTACTTTTAATATATTTGTAGAACAAATTTTCTCCTTCCTCCTTGTGACACCCTTTTAGATATTTGAAAACCGCTATCATGTCCCCCCTTAATCTTCTTTTTTCCAAACTAAACA